ATTTTGGAAGTCCGTAGCTCATTTAGGCTTGAAATGCCGAAGTTTGAATTTTTAAAGTTTCCGGTCCGATAGTGAGTTTTTGATCCGAGGGTCGGTTGGAATTCCGGAAGTTGCAGTAGTTCCGTCATGTCATTTGGGATGTGTGTGCAAAATTTCAGGTCATTCGGACGAGGTTCAGGTAGGTTTTTGATCGAGAGCGTGTTTGGTTGGAATTTGAAGTTCTTAGGCTTGAATCTTTGATTAATTAGGGTTTCCGGCGTTGTTTAGGTGTTTTCAAGATTGGTACAAGTTTGAATAAGGTATTAGGTGGTATTGGTACTTTTGGTTGAGGTCCCGGGGGCCTCGGGATGATTTCGGGTGGTTAACGGAAGAGTTTTGGAAGTTGAGAAATAGCAGCACTCCTGCTTCTGGTATCTTTCCGCTTCTGCGGCTTGGGAACCGCAGAAGCGGCCTTGGTTGTCGCAGAAGCGAGATCAGCCCTCCCTCTCAGGAACTGCAGAAGCGGTCGCTATTCCGTAAAAGCAGAACCGCAGGAGCGTTATGTGTCCGCAGAAGCGGACTTTGGTCCATTAAGTGAAAATCGCAGAAGCGGTTGTTTTTCCGCATATGCGGGACCGCAGAAGCGGTCCCTTGTCCGCAGAAGCGGAACTCCCTGGGCAGAAATAGAAATGTCGAGAGTTTGAGTTCATAAGTTACAAAATCAATTGAGAGCTCGGGAGAGGGCGATTTTGAGTGGGTTTTGAAGAGGAGATTTATTGGGTAACGTTTCTTAATCCCTTCTAGTTATATTTCATTATTTTGTAGTTAAATCCATCATTAAAATTCGAATTTGGGACTAAAATTGGAGGAATTTGGTTAGAACTTCTTAGGCCAAACTTTGGAATTTTGAGTGAGCATTTGACCTCCAATTTGGGAGATTTTTATATGGTTAGACTCGTGAGAATACGAGGGTTATGAAAATGTAAAAATTATTTGATTCCGAGGCGTTGGACTGAAGGGCATTTTGGTCATTTCACCCAATTTCACGCCGTAGCCTTGAATTAAATAGTAGAATCAGTTGCTTGAGATGTTATTTACAATTTGTGATTTAATTGAATAGATTTGGGCAATTTGGAGTCGAGTACTCGTGGCAAGAACGTGGTTGCTAGTTGATTTTAGCCGGTTCGAGGTAAGTATCTTGCCTAACCTTGTGTGGGGGACTTCCCCTTAGGATTTGAGTCTTCTTTGTTGATTGTATTCCTTGTACGCGAGGTGACGACTGCGTGCTCGGATTTATTTGTGGAAATTTGCCCCTTTTAGGCTCTTAGATCCTTATAATCACCGAATATGAAGTTGTTCTTGGTACGATTGAGCTCCCTGTTATTAGTTTCACCTCTACATGACATACTTGGAATTATTTGCCCTTTTTGGTTATTCTTGTTGCCTAATTGACTTTTACTTGTTTAACTGTAGGCATTTACCCTTCTATAGTCACATTATCATTCCTAACTGCTTGTCTTATCTGGAAAGCATTATTTCTATCTCTCGTGTAATTAATTGGCCTTAATTGGGAAGAAGTTAGATATCCTATGTTTAGTGGATACTTCCTTAATTGTTATTATTTGATTCATGTTAACTTCCTTGTTGTAGAACTGAGTATTATGGAAGCGTTGTTTCGTATTATCTCTCCCTTGTTGAGTTGTTCTTATCGCGCTTAGTAATTCCCTGTTACAGTTATCCCTTGTACGTTAGTTGTACCGTCTTTTGGTGAACGGAATATCTTGAGTTGGTTCTCTTGCTTTCTTCTTGTATATATATTGTCATTTGTTGATATTGTGAGGCACGAGGTTTCTGCCGTGCGGTTGTTGATATTGTGATGCACGAGGTTTCTGCCATGCGGTTGTTGATATTGTGATGCACGAGGTTTCTGCCATGCGGTTGTTGATATTGTGATGCATGAGGTTTCTGCCGTGCAGTTGTTGATATTGTGATGCACGAGGTTTCTGTCGTGCGGTTGTTGATATTGTGATGCACGAGGTTTCTGCCGTGCAGTTGTTGATATTGTGATGCACGAGGTTTTTGTCGTGCAGTTGTTGATACTGTGATGCACGAGGTCTTTGCCGTGCTATTGTTGTCATTGATGTTTTACACATGCGGCATAATAAGGCGGGATATGTTATATGCTTATATGTGGGTTGCGCATGTGGCGGAATAAGGTGGGAACATTGTGATGCACGTGTGGCGAAATAAGGCGGTGCTTATTATGTTACTAATTGCACACGTGGCGTAATAAGGTGGGCTATGTCAGCGGTTGATTGTAAAGAATTGTGACGGCCTATGGAGGCATTCTTATTTGTTTAATATTGTGATTGTGGGTTGCTTACCTGTATGAGCTTTATCGCTTGGAAGTTGTGAGGTAATATCGTACGAGCGGTCCGTTCTCCCTTGCATGCTTACTAGCTGGTAGAGTCTTGTTAGAGAACATCTGCACAGGCATACACGTAGCTAAATACTCCTATTAGAGGTGATTTCCTCCTGATTTTTGCTAAAGGGTGGAGGTACGCCCCGGTTATCCATTATGTTTGTGAGAGCGGCCCTAGCTAGCCAGTTAGTTGTCAGCGTGACCATGAGATTGATGGGGTACAAGGTGCCAAGTGTTAGGTTTCAGATGCCGTGTGTTTGTGAGTTATGGTTTGTCTGAGACTTGGTGAAATTGTGGAAATAGTTGAGTAAGACCTTTGTGAGCATCATTGTAGGATATGGGTTATTGACTTGTTTTCTCCTCGCTGTGCTATGACTTTAGGATTGGATTGTGATTTTACCGTCATTCGTATCATCATTTAATATATTCTCGTTGTTACTTGTTGTATTTTCCCCTTATTGTGAGTGGTAGCATTTTGGGTCATTCATGCAGTCTTTACCCAATTATATGTCGTTTTCCATTATTCCTATGATTATACTATTTATTAACCGGTAGGTGCCTCGACTGTTCCTCGTCACTACTCTACCGGGGTTAGTCTTGGTACTTACTGGGCACCGCCGTGGTGTGCTCATGCTACTCTTCTCCACATTTTTGTTGTGCAGGTACAGGTACTCCCGCTCAGTTCTGTCAGCCTTGGAAGGAGGCATACCGGTAGATACTTCAAGGTATATCTGCTACGTCCGCAGACCGAGGAGTCCCTTTCCAGCCTTCTGTAATAAGTATAGCTTTCCAGTATTTCTCATTTGTATAGATATTCTTGAGTCAGAGCCTCTTATGTATCCCCTTAGCTTGTGATTTGTGAGTTTCCAGGTTTTGGGAGTTGTTAGCTTCGAGAATTGTTGTGATATGTGCCGAGCAATACCTTAACACCGTTTTATTTTACCAGTTCAGTTTTGTTTATTTTCTTCCGCAATTATGGTCTATCTTCCGCATTGTTAGGCTTACCTAGTCATAGGGACTAGGTGTCATCATGACATGTTCATGAAGGGTGAACTGGGGTCGTGACAACAATGATCGAAAAGGTGAAAGCAATTATCTTTGAACAAGAGGGAAAGGATCCTATTGTCGGGCAATCGGACTTTTTTGATACAATTCAAGAAATTCTTGTTGCTAGGTGGAATAAGAGTAACAGCCCTTTACATTGTATGGCACATTCTTTGGTACCAAAATACTAACATGAATCATGGCTTACAGGGGAAGGAAATGGGGTTTGAAGGCTTGCTCCAAATGAGGATAGAGAGATTTCCTCAAATAGAGTTAAATGTTTTCAAAGATACTTTAAAGATTCAAATAATCTAAAACAAGCATCTTTGGAGTATGGAGCATTCGCAAGTGGGAGTGGTTTCTTTAGTGAGCCTCATGTGGTTGAGGCTATGATGTATGAGGAGCCTCTATCTTGGTGGGCTAACCATGGTGTAAACGCTCCACTTTTGCAAAGCTTGGCGTACAAATTGCTTTCACAACCGGCTTCTTCTTCTTGTTGCGAAAGGAATTGGAGCACATATTCATTGATCTATAGTATCAAAAGAAACAAGTTAGAGACTTCAAGAGCCGAAGATCTAGTTTTTGTACAATACAATCTTCGCTTGCTTTCTCGTCAAAAAGAAAAATATACAAGTGGCCCAAGCAAGTATTGGGATGTGGGTATGTCTATAATCTATGTTTTCTTGAATTTATATTTCCTTTAGTATTTTTTTTAAAATCATTTTTATTTTAATTTTGCTTTAGGCGGAGATCGTTTTGATGTTTATGAAGCCACCAATGATCTACTTGACTTATCAATAGATGAACCTCAACTAGAAGGAGTCATATTTGAAGAAGAGATTGAAGATGTGCAAGAAATTGATCTTGAAAATATTGAGGAAGAATGCTAAATTTATTGTTCAATTGTTAAAACTTAGTAGTTATCCTCTCCTACTTTTTGTTAGTTTATATAGTTCAATGTTAATGTAACTTTATATGGGAATGCTTGAATGGTGATTGCCATTGTAGTTTATTTTTGCCTTTTTGGTGTTCATGCTTATTTTTATTGACTTAATGAGAATGGCTAACTCTTCATAATTTGTGACTTGTGAGAGAAATGCTAATTGCTAAATGATATTTGCATCTTTTATTCTCTATGTTCATGTAGGTCATGTTCTTCTACAAAAGTCGTAAAAGACTAAAAGCCTAAAGGTATGTTTTCTATTTGTCTTTATCTTTATATATATATATAACTCTTTTGCTTATGTAATTATATGATATCTATTATGTTTTAATATACTTTGTGTAACTTGTAGGAGAATCTGAGAATGGAAGAAAATCAAGAAATCGTGCCAACAACTTGAGAATAAAAAGAAATCCATATAGGTAAGTATTCCATAAAATTTCTCATAATTTAGAGATATTTTTATTTTTATTTTTGAATTATTTTTAGCCGGATCCCCGCACCCGTGTCGGTTCTAGGATCCGTATCCCCGAATCTTAAAATTTCCATCTCAAAGGATCCGACCTCTAGATCCGCACCTGTGTCGGACACCCGCACCCGTGTCAGAGCAACTTAGGTCTCAACCACAAAAGTTTTAGTGAAGTCAGGTAGAGCTAAAACATGAGCTTGAGTCAATGCTTTCTTAAGCTCATTAAAAGCTTCAGTAGCTTCTGGTGACCATTTGAAGCCTTCTTTCTTTAGGAGATCAGTTAGTGGTCGGCTAATGATGCCAAAACTCTTAATAAACCTTCTGTAATAGCCTGCTAATCCCAAGAACCCTCTCAATTTTTAAGGGTAGTTGGAATGGGCCAATTCTGTGTAGCTATGATCTTCCGAGGGTCTGTAGAGACACCCTCAGCAGTAATGAAATACCCCAGTATTCAATCCTTTGAACTCCAAAAGAACACTTACTTCTCTAAGCGAAAAACTGATGCCTCCTCATTTCTTCAAATACCAACTGTAAGAGTTACAGATGATCTTGTATACACTTGTTGTATATCAAGATATCATCAAAAAAAACCAAAACAAACTTCCTCAAGGACTGATGGAATATAGAGTTCATAAGACCTTGGAAGGTAGCTGGTGCAATAGATAAGCCAAAGGGCATAACAAGGTACTCATAATGCCTGAATGAATCCTAAAAGCTATTTTAGGAATGTCATCAACAACCATTCTTAGCTGATGATAACCTGATTTGAGATCTATTTTAGAAAAAACCACTGAACCTCCCAATTCATCCAACAAATCTTCCACAATAGCAATTGGAAATTTGTTCTTGATAGTCTGCTTGTTGAGATCCCTGTAGTCTACACACAACCTCCAAGTACCATCCTTCTTGCCTACCAAAACTACAGGAGAAGCAAAGGGATTGCTACTAGGCTGAATTATGCCTTATCCAACATTTGTTTCACTAGACCTTCAATAATATCCCTTTTTACTGCAGGATATCTGTAAGGTCTTTTGTTTATAGGTTCTATTCCATTTTGAAGAATAATTTGGTGATCAAATATCTCTCTAGATGGTGATAATGCAGTAGGTTCATCAAACAAATCCTTATACTTTTCTAACAATGCTGTCAAATCAGGATTACTGCTACCATTTTCACTACTAGTCTCCAAAGAATACCACTGCATACTCCTATCTTCTACACATGGAATAACCTGAATCATTGCAAGTTGAGGTTGATTACCTGACAACTTAGCTATCTTCCCAGCATTAGCAAATTTGATTTGATTTCCAGCACCTCTGAGCATATGTTTTCTTCCCTTGTAGAAGAATTCCATAGTAAGCTTCTTGAAATTCATCTTGATATCTCCAAGAGTAACTAGCCATTCCACACCTAATACCACATCATAGTTTGCCAGAGGTAATAACATAAAATTTGCTTCAAACTCAGCACCCTGCAATAGCCAAGACAATCTGCAAGCCTTATCCACCTTCATGCCAGTACCATTTGCAGTAGCCACTACCTGAGAGCAGGTAGTTGTCACAGGATACCTTAGCTGTTGCACTAATTCAGAATTGATGAAGTTGTGAGTACTCCCAGTATCTATGAGAATGTGCAAAGGTTTCTTGGCATTAAAGCCAGTAGCCCTCAAGCATTTGAACCCCAGAGATCCATTCAATGCATAAACTGAAATCTCTATATATTCTATTTGTTCAGCCAATTCCACTATCTGTTCTGAATCCTCAGAACTCTCAGCATCTTCCGAGTGTTCCGTAATTGGCAGTTCTTCCACTTCTAATGCATAAACCTGCATAAGGTTCTTGCACTTATGGCCGCGTACACATTTCTCATTGCAGAAATAACACAATCTTTTGGCCCTTTTTTCATTGGCTTCCTCAACACTTAGCCTTCTTCTGTTAAATACTCCAATAGAGTTTGGGGGTGGATCCTTCTTGGGAGCAGGTAAGGCCAGATATGGCTTGTTCTGGAATCTTTGATCCACATTCCTTTTAAGATTGGTAGTTTGAGCTGGAGGTAATGATATCCTTTGCACGATCTCCTTTGATTGAGCATCTATGTAGGCTTCATGCATCCTAGCTGCCTTGAATGCTTGAGCAAGTGATCTGGGATTAGTCATTTTCACAGCTATGTTAAGTTGCTCCATCAGCACTCCTATGAAACAACTGATTGCATTTTCCTGTGACAAGTTCCCCCTTGTAAGACTCCTTTCAAAAGTTGTCTGATAATCCCTCACATTACCAGTCTGGAAAATCTTTTTCAATTCCTCCATATGATCATCATAATTCTGTCAAAACTTTTCAGTCAAAGCCATAGCATACTCAGTCCACGTAGGCGGTTGAGTGTAACTCATATACTTCATAAAAGCCAGATGCCACCCCATAGCTTCACCTTCTAAGTGCCATCACTCTTTCTTCAGTCGGTACTCGATCGATTTGGAAAAATTGCTCTGCCTTGAACAGCCATGATCTCAAATCATTTCCAAAAAATCTAGGAAATGAAATCTGAGTATATTTGGAATACTGCCTACCATCTGTTCGATTTCCTTCCTCCTCAACATGATACTTATCAGAGGAATCCTTGCTGTTAGATCTAGATTTAGCTCCACTAGGGCCAATTGCTTCATCTTCATTACTTTTTGCAGAGTTTAACATTTGTTCCTTCAATTCACCTACTGCCTGATCCAAGCCTTTCAAGTGAGCAACTTCCTCAGCTAAAGAACCTATTGTCGAAATCAATTGCTGCATCAATTCTATGATATCACCCATTTCGGTCACTGAATTTTCAACAGATTGACCCCCTTTTGTCATTTTTTTGATATCCAAGAATCAACTGCTCTGATACTAATGATATTCAAATGCAGGGACTAAGAGAAATCCGAGGTTCGAATATAGTCTCTAGGAGCTGAAACAGAGACAGCTCGAAGGTCAACTATGGTGAAGAAGAACAGAGAAAGAGAAAAGAGAGAAGACAGGAAGAAAAAGATTGTTTTGAAAGAACTGTAATTGTTATCCATACCAAGAATGTGATACAATCCTTATATGTAATAGTTGAGCTGTAATGAGATTCTCTTAACAAGTTCTCAACTAACTCAACTAACTTCTAACTAACTTTTTGGCTCCTACTAACTAACTTCCGGAACTAACCTCTAACCATCCTAATTGTCACATTCTTTACTAAAATCAGCCCACGTATACTAATTGTATCACTAATTACAATTTGTATAACAGACTGACATCCTATCCAAAATTAGACAAGCAATTTCTGCTCTTCTGCATCCACTATACAAATGGATCAAAGTCGTACTAGTAATCAAATTCAAATTTTTGCATACCTTAATAAGAGACCCATGAACAGATTTTCCTTCGTTCATTCGAGCTGACCGAGCACAAGCAGTAAGAGCAATGACTATAGTTACATCATTACCCTTCAACCCCCTCTCTGCCAGTGTTTGGAAAAGCGCGCGCTTCGTCGCTTAAAGCGCGAAGCGACGGAGCATCACTTTTCTGTGCCTAAGGCGACTTGAACAGTTGAAGCGCACGCTTCAGAGGAAAAATCGACGAGGCGACGAGGCGAGGGAAGCGACAAATCGATCGCTTTTGTTCAAAAATCGCAGCTGGGCCTTTTTAAGAAAAAAGATTGGGTATGTTTTTAATTTATACAAAACAAACCCCTAATTGCTGCGCTACATAACAGAAGCCAATTGCTGCGATTTTCTCTCTTCTTCATCGAAAAAATTAGGGTGTTGGGATAGAAAGTTTTTGCTTTCTTTTCACTTCTTCATCGCAGCAGACCAGCACCAGCCCACAGCTCCAGTCGACCAGTCCAGGTAAATTTTCTTCTCCTTTCTTCTTCTCATTTTTTTCTTCTTTCTTCTTCTTGTTCTATTTTCTGCTTCTTTTGCTTCGTCACTGACTCGCTGGAGTTCTGTCTTCTCTCTTCCTTCTTCTTCCTTCTTCTTTCTTCTTCTGAGTTCTGTCTTCTCTTTTTTATTTCTTTCTGTCATTATTTATAATTTATATATTTTATATTTTTCATTTTATTTAATTTTTTTAGTGTATATTTCATTAATCAAAATTAATTATTATATATGTTATATTTTCAGTTATATGATTTTTTAAATGTATATTTCAATTTATATAATTAATTATTATATATATTATACGGAAAAGGGTCAAAACTGCCCCTAGACTATTGGAGTTGGTACAATAATGCCCTCCGTCCACCTATTTTGAAAAAATTGCCCTCACCGTTATCTTTTCGGCTCAAGAATGCCCTTACGACTAACGGCCATGTTAGATAAAAAAAAACTTTTAATTAATTTCCACGTGTCATAACGAAAAAAAGGTGAAAACTGCCCCTAGACTATTGGAGTTGGTACAATAATATCCCCCATCTCAAAAAATCTCTCCCCCCACCCCCTCCACCCCCCTCCCCTAGCGTGTGTGCGTTCATATTTTTCTTGTTCTTCTCATCCATTTTTGACCTTGCACTCTATATGAATAATCACTACAAACATCATTAAAGTTTTATTTTCAGACAACCAAAATTTTTTATTACCAATACTTTACGTCATGCAACTTTCAAAGACCCTGTTAGGCAAAAAAAAACTTAATTAATTCTCATGTGTCATCGTCCCATTGGCCTAACTTAAGACTCACCTAAATTAAAATAACTCACCCATATTCTAAGATCCTTTTCCTCCGTTTCTTTCTCCTCTTTCTTTTAAAAATTATTCCACCAACTAAAACTCTCATACACCCATTTTTTTCCCTAAGCAAACAAAACTCTCTCGTATAGTTAATCACCTTTCTCTTCCTATTTCTTTGTATATTAAATGTATACATCAATACTCATATTTTTTTCCATCACAAAAATATCATTCATCATCAATTTTTCTTACTGCACTTTACTGCTTCATACAATAAGCTCAATCAAGTGTTTATTATAGACATTCACCAATAAGTCGTATTCTCTCATATTCTCAGGCATATGATCTCAAATATTTCTCTTGATTTAACCGTCTCTTTTTTAAAATTGGCGGTGTTGATATAACCTGAAGAGCATCCACGTACAATAGCTTAATTTATGGACATGGTCGGATGTTCAGACTATGATGAGCCAATGAAGAAGAAAAAGGTCGAGGTCCGAGCAGAGACCAAATAAATTATTGGTATAATCAAAATTGGATGTAGAGTTGTCAGGAAATATACAACAAAAAATATTGCAAATGCTCAATGATCATTACTATTGGCAGAAAAATAACTTATTAAACCATAAAATCTTACAATGAAGCATTAATTTCAAAGAGTACCTGATTTCACTCAGAAAATTGATTTAATAAAAAATGTTAATTTAAAAATTAAATTAAGGCCGAAAAATCTGAGATGGAGAGGGAGATCCGTGGGTGTTGAAGGGTAAAAATCTAAGACGGAGTAGGCTAATAAGTGGATACGGGGTGAGGTTTTAATTTAAGCCAATAGGAAATTAACACATAATAAATAATAAATTTATTTTCTTAATCAAAATAGGGCTGTTAGTTTTTAGGGTATGAGTGGGCCGAAAAGTTGACGTTAGGGGCATGAATGGGCCAGATTTGTAACGGTGAGGGCAATTTTTACAAAATAGGTGGCCAGAGGGCATTTTTAAACTTAAGCGAATAGTCTAGGGGCAGTTTTGGCCCTTTTCCGTACTAAATAAAGTGGCACCAAAAACTAAAGTCTTACTAGATAAAGAATTAAAATTTAAAAAATATAAAACAAATATCTAATATAAGTAATTTTATAAACTAAAATTAAAAGTCAAATTTTGTATCTTGAAACGAAAAGAAATTTTTTTTATTGCATGTAATACAAAAAATAAATATAAGAAANGTATGCAAGTTTTGCAACAAGATTACAACGGGTGGCATTTTATACGCTTTTAAAATACCAATCTAAGTTGGTAGGCGATAGAAACGTCACAAGTTGTCCGAAATGTACCACCGGAGGTGGGGGAAGAAATAAGAACTTTTTTGAGAAGAAGAAGGAGCAAAAAAAATCAAAATGGTTCATCAACCAATGGTGACCAATCTTGATGATGATGATGATGATGATTATATTGAAAAATTGTCACTTCCAACTAAACGGGGAAGAGATAGGTCAAGCCATGGATCATCGACTAAAGGTCCTGGATTGCTATTCCCAAGAGATGGAAGCAAAGGCGGTGAAAAGATGTCAAAAAATTGCTAAAGACAGTTTTGAGGAATCGTGCAAGTAGAGCTTTTGCACGATGGGTCTATGATGCCGGGCTCCCCTTCAATTGTGTCAACTATGACACTTTTGGAGACTTTATTGAGGTCGTTGGTCAATACGGACCTGGAATGAAGCCTCCCACTTATCATGAAATAAGAGGTCCTTATCTAAATAAGGAAGTGGAGGAGACTAATAAAATTGTTGAGGAGCATAAAGTTGTGTGGAACAAGTATGACTGCTCCATTATGATGGATAAGTGGACGGCAAGAACGGGGAAAATGATTATTAATGTGTTGGTGAATTCTCCCCGGGGAAGTTTGTTTCTTGAGTCCATTGATGCTAGCGACTCATCCACTAACCACATGAAAATGTTCACCTTATTTCAGAACACCACCGAAAAGATTGGTCCAAGCAAAGTTGTTCAAGTGGTCACTGATAATGCAAGTGAAAATGTGAAAGCGGGTGGCATGATTGAAGGAGCGTACAAGAATGTCTATTGGACTCCATGTGCGGCTCATTGTATCAACTTGATGTTCGGGGACATTTTCAAGGAAAAACCCTTCTCTACAATTTTTGGCCAGGGCGTTAGGGTACATTCTTATATTTCTCAGACCTTTTTATTGAATATGATGAGAAGATTCACCATGTAAAAAAAATTGGTGAAACCGGGCAAGACAAGGTTCGCCACTGCTTTCTTGACTTTGCATAGTATCCACTTGCAAAAAGACAAATTGAGAAAGATGGTCACTTTAGAGGAGTGGAGCAAGAGTAAATTTGCAAAGGAAAGTGCGGGGAAAGAGGCTGCACGCATTATTGTTTCTTATTCTTTTTGGAATAATGTCCTTCATGCTCTTAAAATTGGTGGCCCTTTGGTTAAAGTACTCCGTTTGGTGGATGGGGAGCAAAAACCACCAATAGGCTACTTCTATGAAGCTATGGATAGGGCCAAGGAGGCTATTCAAGTATCATTCAGTGATGAGCAGAAATATGCAAAGGTCTTTCAGATCATTGATGCAAGATGGAATGAGCAACTTCATAGACCTTTGCATGCAGCTGGACTTATTCTGAACCATCACTCTTTTATGATCAGCATGAGAATAATTCATTGGCTAAAGAAGTGTGGACAGGATTCCATCAGGTTGTTATCAAGTTGACCCCAGATGAAGACTTGCAAGAAAAGATGGTAGATCAGCTTGCTACTTACAAGGCAGATGAAGGACTTTTTAGCTCTGACTTGCTATTAAACAAAGAAAGACGAAGTCGCCAGGTGACCAAGTGTTTCTATATTTTATAGCTCTAACTTCAATGTATTTTTTATACTTATTAATTCTTGAACATTTTTTTTTTACTTCTATAGCTGAGTGGTGGGACCAATATGGTGCAGAGACTCCGGAGTTACAGACTTTCGCCATCAAAGTTCTAAGCTTAACTTGTAGCTCATCCGGATGTGAAAGGTATTGGAGTGTTTTTGAACACGTGAGAAATAAAAAGAATTATTTCATGTTTTGAGATAAAGTAAATTATATCTCAATTGTCCAAACTCCTACTAATTAGTTGACACATCTTTTTTGCAGATTCATAAAAAGAAGAGGAAACGACTAACCTTGAAGCGCCTCCATAATCTAGTGTTCATAAAATACAATAAAGCATTGAGGCGTCGCTACAACCACCGCAATACAATTGATCCAATTCTTTTGGACAATATTGATGAGGCTAATGAATGGCAAACCGGAGTCCCCGAAAATTGTGAAGATGAAGAAGTATTTGAAGGCGACTCCGATTTTACTTGGGGTGATGTTGCGGTTGGTAGTAGAGTTGGGGAGAATCCTTATGGTTTAAGGAGATATACTCCAAGTTCAAGCTCTATTAGGAAGGGAAAAAGTGTGGCTACTACAAGTCGATCCATATCCCTAATTGATGAAGATGAAAGTGATCATGAAGAGGAGGGGGAAGAAGAAGATGACGAGCAATATGAAGATAATAGAGGAATTCAAGATTTTGACAATCTTGAAGAAGAGTAGAAGAATAAGATGTTGATTCTAGTAATTTAGTAGCTTTGATTTTGCTTGTCCTATGGTTTGTGGATGGTTTGTGGATGATTTGGTGGTACCTAGTACCTACTTTTATATTTAAATTGAAGTTTTTGATTATTTATAATTTTACATTATGTTTTTTTAAGAATTGCGCATCGCTTTTGAAGCGAGGCGAACCCTTGTTGCTTTTTTTGCCCTTCGCGCTCTAAAAAACAATGCTCTCTGCCATTTCTTGGAACAACTTTAGGCACTTGCAAGGGTTGTGAGAATCCAAGTATCCAGTCATCATGACATTCCACCCAACTAAATTCCTATTAGGCATTGCATCAAACAGCTGTCGTGCAACAACTAATTCACCCGCTTTCACATATCCATTCATAATGCTATTCCAAGACAAAACATCCCTGTCAGTCATTTCATCAAACACCTGCTCGGCAAGACCAATAAAACCACAACAAAAAAGCATACAAATGCACCAGAGAATTCTGAACCTGCAAAACCCCATTAACTCCATTTTTCACAGATTGGCCATGACACTTCTGGCCCAACTCCAAACGACCTGCACCCGTATTTGCACAAGCGCTCATAAGAGGTGGAAAAGTAAAGCTATTAGGAGCAAAATGACTGTTTTCAGCCTTTCGGAATAGAATAGCACAGCATTATGTGGCACAGAACTGCAAGCATAAGACTTTATAACAGTATTAACGGAAAACGTATCATGAGAGAGAGTCAATGCATTTAAATACCAACGCAGTATAACTGATACCACAACAGTGAGAGCAGAGCTTTAAAAGTCTGCAAGAAAATGATGGGTTTTTGACTTGTAAAAGACAGCTGATTATCAAACGGGCTTGAATTTGAAAGAGATGCGCCAAGCTTTGACAAGAGTCCATAAAATTCAAAATTTGGTCATATACAGAAAGGGATTCGGATTGCTCACAAGTTAAATATGAAAATGGGGATGATCTAGAGGCGAATGGATGTATGGAGGGTGAGGCTTGTCCAGTGCCGGAAGATAGGAATATAAGTAGGAGCTTATTTAAGTGCCATTCTTCTATTTCATTTCTAAATTTGTCTTTCAGTAGGAGCTTAATGTACTCTTTTCAATATATTGAGATTCAAAGAACTTTCCTATAGTTTTCACTTTCGAAAATAAAAAAAATGCTAAAATTTTCTCACTAATCGAGCTATTGTCTTTTAAATGTTGAATCAGTCAGTCTATGTTAGCAAACAATAGAGCCAACTGCTTGTTTCGTCAAGTATCACAATAAAGTAAAGTCTGATAGGATAAAAATAATTTGTTTTATATATAACCTACTCCCTCCGGTTCAAAATAAGTGATTTTTTTAGCTGTTTTCACACAGATTAAGAAATCCACCTTTTAGCATTAATTAGCAATGAAATTGACCATATTAACATTTGCTATCTCTTCACATAAATACTCCTTACACATACTTCAATACTATTTACTCCAAGGGCAATGTAGGAAAAAAATAATTAATTCATTCTTGAAATCTGAAAAAAATACTTATTTTGGACCACAGAAAAAAGGTCAAAAAATCACTTATTTTGGACCGGAGGGAGTATTGAATTTCCTTGACATAAGGAAATTATCATGGGTAATTGTGAAGTTAATCCTAATATTATCTTAGAGCATGTTTGGAAAGCCACCTTGGAAATGGATTTGGGTGTAATAGGGTGTAATTACATAGTTTGGCATATTTGTTAGGCCAAGTAATTACTTGGTCAGCATCAAATTGGGTATAATTGGAGGGGTGTAATTACACTCTCCAATTTTCAAGGGGATGTGAGAATTGGTGGTAATTACACTGTGTGATTACAAGGTTGCTTTTTAGTTTCTTTCCTTTTTGTTTTTATTTTAATTTATTTTCTTTATAACTTTTTATTTCTATTATTTTAATTTTTTTATTTTTTTGACTTTTTAATTTCTTTTGAAATTTTAAAAAATATTTTTCTTTGTACATTATTTATCGTTTATTTCTCTATCTTTACTCTTGTAATTCTATGTAATTGCTTATAGTTTATTTTTTTTTATTTTATTATTCTATTTTTGAAACTACATCTCCTAATATTAGAAGTAATGAGTCATTAATAAACTTGGCATATAATGAGTGATATTAACGTGAATTTCGTTGTTGAATGTGGTTATAAACTTATCATGTTTCCTAATTTTAAGTTGCAACGGAACTTACTATTATTATGTTGGAATTTGATATATGTTAAACTATTTTTTTTTAATTTTGAAATTGTGCTTTATTCATGGTTCCAATTTACTTGTTTTAGTAGTATTGGGTCACATTGCATGTTGTTCATTTTTTAGTTAGAATTGATAGATTAGTTTTGTCAAATATTTGAATAATGTTACGAAACTATATTTATAAATATTAATTTATTTTATCACATATGAATTCCATAATGTTCTTACAAAACGTATATTTTTTAGTTTTTTTAAGTATCTAAACTAAATATTATTAATTTTAAAAAATATATAAATTATTTTTACAATATTAGTTATAAATATATTATTACTAATTAATGTTTATTCACAAAAAATCTACATCTTAAATACCAAATATAATATTATTTATACTTATAAAATTTTATAGGCATATATTTATTATATTAATTTTTAAATTCTGATAATTATTTAATTTAAAATTTAATCTAACTGTGTAATTATACTTGTGCAACCAAACAGTAAACTTGTAATTACACTATGACAAACAAACAGATCATCGTAATTACACAATCGTGTAATTACTAGGCTGTGTAATTACTACCGTGGTAATTACACCACTTTCAATTACAGGGTAACTTTCCAAACAGACTCTTAGATTATATGTTCAAATTCAATGTGTGGTACTTTTATACCTTTTCGAATTCATTATTAAAATTTTGCTCCATCACCGATTATAGTCAGCCGTAGACAGTAGTTTTAAGGATTGCCTTTCAAAATTAACACATGAGCAGAAGATCAGCTAAGCCAATATAAAGTTTTTGCTTCACATATTATTGTAAGTAGAGTGATGCTATTTTCTCTATGTACTTTACTTTATGTATAAAAATAAGTATGAAATTTTTTTTATAATGTGCCAGTATTTATAATCGTCCACTCGTTGCTTTATTACAATTACTGTATTACCTTGTCTGGTATTATTGTGTCACGACCCTCAATTCATTAAAGATCGTGATGACGTCGGACACCACTGTCAGGCAAACCAACAATAAATACTTAATTTGGTTTTCATTTCAATATTTTAGAAATCATATTTTCCTTCAATTAAATAGTAAAAGATGGGATTTACAGAATAAATAATAAGTAATATTTTTAACAGTTTCAGTACAGGACAAGCCATCCCAAATTCGGTGTCACAAGTGCATGAGCATCAACTAGGAATATAAAATAAAATACAGCATCTGTCCGGAATACAAATTGGACAGGAGAAATATAAATACTTTGAAGGAGATTCTGCTGGCTACGCGTCGTAATATGGAGCGCAGCTCACCTAAGTCCCCGCATGTATACACGCCTCTACTCTCATAAGGCCACTAAACATATATGTACCTGCACAAAAATTTGCAGCAAGTGTAATATGAGTACGTAAATCCACGTGTACCCAGTAAGTATCTAGCCTAACCCTGGAAGAGTAGTGACGAGGGGTCGACATCAACACTCACTAGTGATCCAATAATATCAGGTACGGTAAAAGGGTAAATAAACATGAGGCAGAGTAAATAAATGAAATAAACAAGCATAAAATACGTTATACAAATTCTCCTCTTTACAATGAACTCAAGCTTCCCATTAGAAATTCCCTCCTTGATCGGAGCACACATATCGGTGTAGTGTATCTCATCAAATAGATTGTCATAATTCAAATCAGGAAAAACTCACGGATACACTGGCTTCTTGTAAAATATTACGCATGATCCATGAGGATATGATATGGGAAATACTGAGGCGTACAATCCGACCCAACATAAATATTTGTGCACTACTGAAGGTCAAACGACACGAACAATAGATGCATCTATTAACCTGCCGAGGCGAACGTCCCGCACCCATGAAAGTGTGGTACATAAATTCTGCCGAGGCGAATGGCCCGATCCCATAAGATGTGAAATACAAAATCCTGCCGAGACGAACGGCCCGATCCCATTAGAATAAGAAACTTTGACGGGTCCTTAACCCCACTCACGAATAAACGTGTGAGTTCTAATTTCTTTAACAAAAACCTTTCAATGAAACATATATATCACGAAAACATGCCGTAAGAAGAGTAAAATTATTCAGTGAATAATCATGAACTCGTGAAGTCTCTACAATAGCAAGCCCACTCTCAAGTAGAAATGTAAAACAGAGGAATTTAATAGGCGAGAGACTGCTCAAATAGTACAGCTATAGCATGATATGAACCTAAGCCTACTTGGACAATAACATGAATGTAGCTACGCACGGGCTCTCATCACCTCGCGCGTACGTAGCCCCCACAACAAGTAGCACACATCAATATACAACACCTAGGGGTAATTTTCCCCTCACAGGGTTAGACAGGAGACTTACCTCGCTCCGAAGTTCCATAACCGGCTCCACAATCGCTCTAACACCTCAAACCGGTGTCCGTCGCTCCAAAACTAGTCAAGCAATGTGCAAACAATAAAAATATACTCTATACTCATAATAAATCAATTTATAACAACTCCCAACTACGCTTGAAAAGTCAATAAAGTCAACCCTCGGGCCCCACGTGCCTATATTTCATAAATTATTAAAAATAAATATTACCCATAACTCATATGGTCTATATCCAGAAATTCATCCAATTTCGTCCATGAATCGACCCTCAAATCAAGGATTTACCATTTTTCAACTTTGGGGGCTCAAAATCCCAATTTATACAATTCAAAACACGGATAAAAATAGAAATCAACAGAAATAATCATGGAGAAAAATAAAAATAAAGGGC